TAGAACATAATTAACCCAAATATGAATAATATAAAGAAAAAATAATTTTAAAAAAGTGACATTTTTGTAAAGATTTCAAAAGTGTGGCATTTTTGTAAAGTGACACTTGAAAAGTGGCATTTTTTGAAATTTTTCAACTTTTTTCAAATTGTTTTGTGTTAAAAAATACATTTCAAAAGAATAATTATATTTGTTGTTATATATGTGGAAAGTTTTTCACATAAAACATATCATAATTCTTTTAAAAATTTGGTAAGTTTTTATTATTAATTTCAAAAAGAATTTTATGATTACAATAATCAATTTCTAAACTACTTTAAAAGAGAAACGAAGGTTAATATATAATTTTAGAATAAAAAAAAAATCTGATAAACTTAAGTAGTTTTGTGAGATTAATTTTCATGGGTATAAGTTTTAGTGGCTAATTACAATAAAAATTTAATTAGTTTTCTCACAATATTTTTTCGTGGGTGTAGATTTTGAGTTAGTGCGCTAAATTTAAATAGTTTTGTGAGATTAATTTTTTTGGGTATAAGTTTTAGTGGGCTAAATTAGTGGGATAAATGTTTGATAAATTTTATTATTTCACATTTTAGAGAATGCCATGTCACAATAAATTTTGGGAGAATAATTTTAGAGAAGATACATATGCTTTTTTTGGAAGAATCACTTCCCAAATTAGTCATGGCCCTGTGTATGTGCAAGGAGTGCATTTGCAGAGATCCCATTTGCTTTAAAAAAAATTATGCCGATTATTTTTACTAAATAGGACCTCGAAATTTTTTTTTTGGGAAAAAGAGGACCAATTTTGCAATTTTTAATACATAAAGGGACAAACGAAAAAATTATTGCTAAATAATTTATAAAGGATTAGCAATTAATGAATTGGCGTATGTTGATTTCTGGATAAATAGCATGATTCGTGATCCAATGACCGATATGGACTTTCACTTACAGCTGAAAGTTTTTCCTTACGATGTTGATTTAAGATAAAAGGATGTACAATGCATATTAATAGCGATCAACAAACTTCTTTTATCATGATATACAAAGGTTTGGAAAGAGCTACCCGAAACAGATAGTTCAACTTGTAAACTTTAGATTATCGAGAAAATGAAAATTTCGGAAGTTTTGAATCCAATCACTAATTATAAGGAAAATACTACATTATTATTGTTCTTGCTCTGATCGACAGAAATTATGATTTTCGATGACTAGATTGATGTTGTTATGACTTCTTGTCTGAAAAGATTATAAGATGTTTAGAGTTATTTTGTTTTCTATTATTTGATTTTTTCAAGTTTTTATGTAAAAAATAATGTATAATAACTATTTATATTCTGTAGTATTTTTTTTATTAGTTTATTTGGTTTTATTAAATAGTAAATGATGTTTTTAATGT